TTCTGTGACAAATTCTCGCTCAATCAGCAGATTACAGAACCAACTAGGAACGAAAACACGCTGGACCTGATATTCATGAACAATGATGAGCTAATCAGAGACATTACTGTCTCAGACACTACGTACTCGTACCAAAAGCTCATTGAAGTGCAAACTGACATTAATAACGGTAGTAGGCCCAAGAGAGACAACAAGCGAGAAGGGTTATTCAATAAATTCAATTTTAATAATAATAGAATAGACTGGAAGAAAATAAACAGGGAACTTACAAACTTTCAATGGGAAAATGTTCTAAGAAATAAAAATCCTACACAAGGAATAGAAAAACTGACGTCTAAAGCATTGAAGTCTGTCTGAAACATGTTCCTTTGAGGAAAGCCAGAAAGACGTCCAATGTAGAAAGAGAACGCAGACGACATTACAAAAGAAGGAAGACATTAACGGAAATGCTTAAGCAGACACGACTTTCCATAAAAGAAGGAATAATTTAAACAGGGAGATTGAAGAAATTGAACAGAGACTGAAGCATTCATATCAGACTGAAGAAAGGCAACTAGAACAGAAAGCAATTCAAGAAATAAAGAAAAACCCAAAATATTTTTTTACATATGCTAAATCAAAAGCAAAAACCACTGCCAGTATTGGACCTATTCGTATAAGTGAAGGTTCATACACTGAGGATGACAAAGAAATTAGCGAAATCCTAAAAAAGCATTATGAGGACATGTTTAGCAATCCGATACACAGCATGAAAGTGGATGATCCAAACAACTTCTTTATGCGTGATATCCAAACACCTGTAAATATAACTGATATCAACACGAGCGTAGCAGATTTTGAAAGAGAAATTGACAATATGCCCATGCACTCGGCCCCAGGTCCAAACTCATGGAATTCAATATTTATAAACAAATGCAAAGTGCCAGTAGCACAGGCACTCAGTATAGTGTGGAGGAAGAGCTTGGACACGGGGGAGATACCAGATGCGCTGAAAGCAGCAGACATAGCCCCTCTACACAAGGGAGGGAACAAAGCATTGGCAAAGAATTATAGACCAGTTGCACTATCGTCCCACATAATAAAAGTATTTGAGAGAGTGATCAGGAGTCAGGTCACTAGATTCATGGAAACCAATGACCTCCACAACCCAGGCCAACATGGATTCAGAGCGGGAATATCATGCCTCTCACAGCTACTTGACCATTACGACAAAATCATTGAGGCATTATGTTATAAAAATATTGTGGAGCTGCTATGGGAGAACTGGTTCTATTAAGGGGTAAGGGTAGTTAGAAGACAGAGTTATCAAATATGGGAGAGCTAAAAGGCCCCAAAATAAACTATCCACAGTAATAATAACTTGCTACTAGACCATATATGTCAGTCTAAGGGTTGATCAATGCACTCCCACACAGGACGAAGGAATACTCTGTTCTAAGGTACTTATTTATTAACCCCTTAACAACCTCCCATATACACTCACACCAATAACAATAATAATAATAACTTTACCACACTACCTTACGTTAAAAGCTATCTTACGTTAAAAGGTCCACATAGGCAGGATACAAGGTTTTACACTGAACACAAGCTAGGGTAAAGCTCTACTACTGAATAACTTGAAGTTAGAGTCAGCTTAGGGTAGGGGACCACGTGGTTCCAATGGGACCCCCTTTAGAATACTAGTAATATAAACTCTACAAACACCTACTACACACAAAATATCCTACTCTACACATAGAACATGAGTATGCCAGACATGCATAATAATGTGCTCAATATACTTATCTTGAACAAGACACAGAAATAAGGAAACAAAGAGGAAGGGTAGGAAGTTCCTGTCCACACCACGCCAGCTCAGAAAAAGATGGAGTCTCTCTCCTTCATCCCCCCAGCTGGCTGCTGCCGGCAGACTGCTCAACTAATCGTACCGCAGCCCTATACCAAGTTTACTCAGGTTTACTTTACCAATGATTAGAAAGTATTAGTGAGCATAGTTGGTGCCTATGTTATTATTTAATAATCAACCCCCAGCTCAGTCTTTAAATGCTCTTTAAGAAACAAGAAAAGTCTTACGTCTGGCAGGGAAGATACAAACAATGACGCATAGGGTTGCGTTCAGCTATACTATAGGAAAGTTTAATAACTCAATTTTGACCTCTGGTTTCCACTGAAGAACCCAGGGTCGTAACACATTAGAAGAAAAACAGAATGCATATGTTGTATACACAGACTTTCAAAGGCATTCGACAAATGTGATCATGGAGTGACAGCACACAAAATGAGGTCAATGGGAATAACTGGTAAAGGTGGACGCTGGATACTCAATTTCCTGTCGAACAGAACACAAAGGGTAACAGTCAATCAAATAAAATCGAGTCCGAGCACAGTTAAAAGCTCTGTACCTCAAGGTACAGTCCTTGCACCACTGCTGTTCCTTATTCTCATATCAGATATAAACAAAAATACAAGTCACAACTTCGTGTCATCCTTTGCAGATGGTACAAAAATCAGCATGAAAATTACCTCTGCTGAAGACATTGTAAAACTACACACAGATATTAACAAAGTTTTCGACTGGGCAGCAGAAAATAACATGATGTTTAACAGTGATAAATTCCATGTACTCAGATACAGCAAAAATGAGGATCTGAAAAATAATACAGGGTACAAAACACAATCGAATCTGCCCATAGTAGGAAAAAAGCATGTCAAGGATCTGGGAATAATGATATCCGACGACCTTACGTTTAGGGAGCATAACCAAGCAAATATTGCGTCAGCCAGAAAAATGATAGGATGGATTATGAGAACCTTCAAATCCAGGGATCCCATCACAATGGTTGTACTCTTCAAGTAACTTGTGTTGTTCCGACTTGAGTACTGCTCAGTACTCACTTCCCCCTTCAGAGCAGGAGAGATTGCTGAAATAGAGGGAATACAGAGAACATATACGGTACGCATAGACAAGATAAAGCACCTAAATTATTGGGATCGTCTCAAAGCCCTCCAAATGTACTCACTAGAAAGGAAACGAGAGAGATACCAAATAACATACACATGGAAAATGCTGGAGGGCTAGGTCCCAAATCTACACAGTAAAATAACAACGTACTGGAGTGAACGATATGGAAGAAAAGGTAGAATAGAACCAGTGTAGAGCAGAGGTACCATTGGCACAATCAGAGAACACTGTATACAGATCAGAGGTCCCCGGTTGTTCAACATCCTCCCAGCGAGCATAAGAAATATTGCCGGAACAACCGTGGACATGTTCAAGAGGAAACTAGATTGTTTCCTCCAAGGAGTGCCGGACCAACCGGGCTGTGGTGGGTATATGGGCCTGCGGGGCGCTCCAAGCAACAGCCTAGTGGACCAAACTCTCACAAGTCAAGTCTGGCCTCGGGCCGGGCTTAGGGAGTAGAATAACTCCCAGAACCCCATCAACCAGGATTTATTGTGCATATACTTGTAATACCCAAGCATCAGATGTCTGACCCATGTGTCCCTTTTGAATGCCGTCAGTAATAGGAAGCAGCTTTAAATGATTTGTAGTCATTTGACATTATAAAGTGAGGTTCATTTCCCAAGAAAAACCGTTATCCATCAATTAGGATATTTCACATCTCTTGATGCGATTAACTCTTGTATGACACTAATCAACAAGAAAATAAGCCACAAGTGTAATGAAGTTCTTGAATAAATTAATTTAGAGCCTTCGAGCATTGTTACTGTGAAACCTAGTTCCGGAGAAATTGCCACTCGCTAAAGGTTACTCGAGTAAACGACACTAGCTAATACACTAATTATATATTTTGATGAGAAACTGTTAAAGATTCTCTTTGATTAAGTTTTGCATACACTAAGTAGGGCGTGACCTTAGATACTTGTGCTTGAGACGAGCACTCATCTGTGAGACGTCACTCGCAGAGTTACACCCAGGAAGCTTACAGCTGCTCAGGTCACTGTGGGTTCCTTAGATAACTTCCTGCAAGCCGCCTGCCATATTCAAATAGGCGAGACAGCTGAGTGGACAGCGCTTCGGATTCGTAGTCTTGAGGTTCCGGGATCGATCCCCGGTTGAGGCGGAAACAAATGGGCAGAGTTTCTTTCACCCTGATGCATCTGTTCACCTAGCAGTAAATAAGTACCTGGTAGTTAGACAGCTGCTATGGGCTGCTTCCTGGGGGTGTGTAGCAAAAAGGAGGCCTGGTTAAGGCCCGGGCCGCGGGGACGCTAAGCCCCGAAATCATCTCAAGATAACGTTTCAGTGCAGGATGTGGTCAGAAATATGTAGTATCTCTCCTACACTCTGTCACACCTGTTAGGAGGTGACGTTACCCAGGTTACTCACCCCAATGGCAACCACTAAATATTTAATCTGGTACACAAATGCATCTATTGACGTAATCTTTCAGGACGGAACATTTGGTTTTAGGCTACAGTCATTGATTAATTGAATGATGAAGATTAAGCCACCCAAGAGGTGACATGGGCACGAATAGCCCATAGTGGTAGATTTTTTGGAGTGAATGTGATCTTTGGTAGTGAATTATAACGTGCTGTCTTATATAATCGATCACTTTTTTTAGTGATTATATTAAGACAATTGTATAGTGCGATACTAAAGTTGTTGAATTGGAATGTATAAAATGTGACCTTAGCCATATGCAGGCGATGAGTCACAATAACGTGGCTAAAGTATGTTGACCAGACCACACACTAGAAGGTGAAGGGACGCCGACGTTTCGGTCCGTCCTGGACCATTGAGACTTGAGAATCACAATTGACTTGAGAATCACAATTGACTTGAGAATGGTACAGGACGGACCGAAACGTCGTCGTCCCTTCACCTTCTAATGTGTGTGGTCTGGTCAACCTTAGCCATATTTGACAGTGAGAGAATATCTAGTGCCGTGCATAATTTTGTACAAATTGCAACGGCTGATATAGATTATAGATATTAATTTCAAGATACAATTGACTGTTCTGATCAACAGAGATCGACCCGAAGATCCTGGACGTGTCTAAAATGACGAAGACGGGTCTGCAGGTCTCCGTGATGAGTAACTTGACCCACCCTTCCCACGTTGTGTTGGGTCAGGGCATCCCCATCCTTCCCCGGGCCTACACAGCCATACAAGTCTCCCTCACTGTGGTCAGTCTTTATTCTTTTCCATATTCGTCACATTGGTAATATTTTCCTGTTATATCCCGGGCAGGACAGAAATGGTTGGACACATTTCCTTTCACCTAATGCTGCTGTTCACCTAGCAGTAAGTAGGTACTCAGGAGTTAGGCAGCTTGTTGTGGGGTTGCATTCTGGGCCGGGTCAGTAATTCGACCTGGGGGGGGGGAGACCTCGATATAAGCCTAACGTGTATAAATACACACTGACTGCCTGTCCATCGACACAATGATTTATTATTATAATTATATTAATAGTAAAAATATACAATTTAGTGATATTTTTACTTGAGATGATAATTTTTTCAGGGTTATTAATTATTAGTAGAAAAGTAATAATACAGCATATGGCTGTAACGAGATTTCTATTCTTTTACAGCAAGTTTCCTAGTTTTGCAATGTCAGAGTTAATATTAATTGGGCAACCATCTGAATATGAGTGAGTCTTAGGGGTCACGGTACATATCAGACAGACTATGTTTCTTAGTTTCCTTGAACATATACGGCTTGGTATCCAGCAAGTCTCTACACTTTATAATGCTCGAAATGATATACACTCACTGTGGAATTTCATTACCATAGGCTTAGAAGAGCTAAAGATTAATGAGCCATTAGAACGCTCTGAGAGTTAACAACAGTAGTGGGATGTACAGCTTTGCAGCGATTTTTGGTTTGCCTCGGAAAATGGACAGCTTAGCAGCGATTTTTGGTTTGCCTCGGAAAATGGACAGCTTAGCAGCGATTTTTGGTTAGCCCCGGAAAATGGACATCTTAGCAGTGATTTTTGGTTTGCCCCTGAAAATGAACATCTTAGCAGTGATTTTTGGTTTGACACAGAAAATGGACAAATTACTGGTGATTTTTCATTTTGGGCCCAGGAAAATAGACATATTAACCATGATTTTTTCGTTTTTTTTTTTAGAAAATCATTGCTAAGCTGTGGGGTTCCAGGTAAAACCTTTTCAGTTTTTATTCCTTGCTCTGTCACTCCCGTTTAAGACAGAAATATTTTCAGATTATAGTTTACGACCAAAATTTTTTCAGAGATTATTTTCAGCAAATATGTTCATAGAAGTCTTGTTAAGGAAAATAGACCCCTTAGCAATAACTTTTAGTTTTAAATACATTTACTGCTGTTTCACCCATTTAAGACCGAATTTCTTCAGAGAGACCAGTTTAAGACTGAAATTTGTCAGAAGCAAGTTTTGAACCGATATTTGACAGAGTCCAGTTGAAGACCGGAATTTGTCAGAGACCAGTTTAAGATTGAAATTGTTCAGAGACGAGTTTAAGATAAAAATTCTTTAAAGTTTTAATCCTCACTGCGTTCCAAAAGAGTTCTTATGGATATACATAAACTCTACAAACTTGAGGAAATATTTTAAAAAGTTCATTAGATATTAGCTCTTGAACCCAGATCTTTACGTTTATAAGTGTAGTTTCGCTACTAATAACCCAATTTAAAATAGTCATATTTCAGATGTAGTAATAAAAGAAAAACGTTTTACCGAGTTCTAGCCCCCATCCCCGCCTTAGCCCCTTCTCGTTAGTATCTATTCAAATCCCCTGAAAATTAAACCCGCTGTATTTCAGACATAGTAAAATACAACAATTTAGATACCGAGCTCCAGCTCATGTCCTTGCCTTACTTTAACCGTAGAACTTCAATAATATCAGATAAATTCCCCGAAATTTAACCCAACTTTATTTCTGACATAGTAAATAAGGTCAAGGCAATTACCGAACTCCAGCTCCGGTCCACCGCCTTATTTAATTCGCACAACTTCTTTACTAACTGTCCAACTCCCCTTAAATTTAATCCCGCCATATTTCAGATTCAGTCAAATAAATAAAGACATTAACCGAGTTTCAGCTCATGTCTTCTACCTTAGTTCATTCGTACATCTCCCTTATTATCAGTTCAAATGCTCTAAAATTTAAAACAGTTATACTTCTGCAGAGTAGGTAAGAAACAAAGAGTTACCATATTCTAGCTCCCATTCTCTGACTTTGCTGACTCCCATAGATTCACAACTATCAGCCCAATTTCCCTGAAATTTAAACCCGATACATTTCTAACATAGTAAAATAAAGTAAAACAAATACTAGTTTCAGCTCTTGTCCCCCACCATAGTTCATTCGTACAACTCAACTATTATCAGTTCAAACCCCAGCAAAATTTAAAACTGCTATATTTCTGACACATGAAATAAGATCAAGATAGATGAACAAAAAAATTTACTTTGATAAATGTATTAAAAATGTATGAAAAGACTAAATGTTGTAAAATAGACCTTCCTATAAATTATTTGAAACGTATATATAAAACAAATAAAAGTTAGGTGGGGCTGTGTTAAGCTAAGATGATCGTAAAATGCTGGGTGGATAGTGTACAAGTTCATATATATAAGATAAGGAATAGGTTAGGTTAGGGTTATTGGGTTATGTAAGAGAGGAATGCTTAACAACACTATACCGAGAATATTAGAGTTTGGAAGCTGAACAAACAGAGGGACATGGTAATAGGAACGGGTTAAGATAAATATATTAGTTGGATGAGCGTTTTTGTAATGTTCTCAAATTATTATATGTGTAAGAGTTTCTCAAAGTGTCTAAATGTTTGCAAAAGTTGTACTTGTTTGTTTAAGAGTGCATATGATCTGTGATAGTACATAAATGTATTTACATGTTTAACTAAGTTTATGCATTTGTACAAGTTTGAGAAAGTGTGTAAGTTAATGAACATAGTGAATGTGAGCATGTACAAGTTTATGCATGTATATTTGTTTGTGTAAGTTAGTAAACTGAGTACTTGCATAAGTTGTATAAGTTTGCAAGTATAACTGTACGTGTATATGTAAATGAGAAAGTGGCATGTATATTTTGTGTAAGTATTTATGCAATTTGTGTAAAAGTGTATGTCATGGGTATTTTATGTAAGTCTGAATATGTTTGCGAGTCCAGTATGAAAGTTCTGGTGTGTATCTATAAGAATAAATTAGTGTTGACCGGGAACATAAATGAAAAGTTTATGTTTCAAAGATAATAAGATGAATCTTAGGTTAAGTTACATTATGTATGAGAGGGAAGGTAATTTAAGTTGGGGCATTAGCTCCAAATATGCCAAAAATATACAATAAATGAAAACTAGTTCGATTTCAATCAAACTTTTTTTAACGAGTTGTATATGAAAAGGGTTTCATCTGGTCCAAGTCTCAGCATCGTAGCAGAAATAGGAAGGAAGAAACAAATATTGAGTTATGTGTCAAAAAATTTACAAAATAGTGAAAAATTAACATCAAACACAAGTGTCAACTGAAATCATGTCTATGACTCTCAGCTATCACAATAGAATATAGTAAAAATATTTAATAATTAGTTTTGTCCCCCCCAAAAAAAATGATTTTTTTTTCTTATTTGTTTATCGGACGAGTTAATGTTTCTACAATCTGTTTTGAGTTTTTTTTCTAAGTTCATTTATTGATTTTATAATAGTAATAAACATGATATATTTGCAAAATTTTTGGGGGAACTTTGACTTTTTGTATTAGTAAATCTAAACGTATTTTGGAAAATCCGCAGAATCAGATCCCTTATTATATGCTAATGTGATAGAAGAGTGTCATAGAAATGATTTCATTTGAAACTTGTGGTTGTAGATTCTTATTGAAAATGTGTAAAATTCGTTGAAAAAAAAATTCTCCCATTCTATCTAGGCTGCGATACTGAAACTTGGAACAATTGCCGCCCTTTTCATATAAACTAGTCAAAAAAGATTTGTTGACATTGAACAACGTTTAAAAAACTAACTAATGCCTCCTTAAGTTACCAAGTTATGTAAGTTATGTCAGGTAAGGCAGGTTAGGTAAAGGAAGTTACCTTTCATAAGTTATGTTATGATAAGTTACATTAGGAGAGGTTACTACAGATAAATCGAGATAGTAAAGTTTCATTAGGTATGCTAGGTTTTGTAAGCTACATTAGGTAGGGAAGGAATAGGTAAGTTGGATTAGGTAAGTTACAATAGGCTAGGTTATCTCAGGCAAGTAAGGTTAGGTATGAATGGGCAAGATAGGTTGGGCAAATAAGTTATGATAAGGTACATTCGGGTTTACTAGTACAGGTAAGTCAGGTTAGGTATGGATATGCAGTGTTGTTCAAAGAACAGTTTTAAGATAAAGTGACTAAGAAAATTTATTTTGACAGAATAACTAATAAACAGAAATGCAAGTTTGTTACGAAAAGGTGAAGTAGTTCAACTACAACTTCATGACTCCCTGATAATTAGCTCTACTGATCTACCTGATGAACAACAAGGTGAGGATTGCTGTAACATAGCCAACACCCTAATTAATTCAAAGATCAGTGTCAATGTTCAAATCAAATCGGCTATTAGGATAGATAAAAACAATCCCCGTATCAGTAGGAGAATGCTCATCAAACTTGCAAATCCCTCTGCGAAGTTTGACCTCATACAATCAGCTGCTAAGCATAAAACCAACCTCTATATAAATGAGTGTCTTACAAAGCAGCGTGGATCCCTCCTCTTCAGGCTGCGTCAAATTCGCAAACAAAAACCTGGTCTTATCAAGCAGTGCTACACTAGGAATGGAACGATTTTTGCGAAGAAGGAAATTACAGGAAAAAGATATGAAATAAAATGTGACCAACAACTCCTGGCCTTCTTAAGTGATTGTGGTATATCTGAAAACCTGAACCCGACCAATGCCAGTACTTAAAATAACTCTTTCATTGCCTGAGCCTAACCTAACTTAATCTAACTTTGTCTAAGGTGCTGTCTCTGCCTTACCTTTTACCTAATGTTCTCTCATTCATATAATTTCCAAAATAATCCATCAAGTCTCCATGCACTTATGCAAGCATCTACCTCAGTTTCATTGTAAAATTTTACTCTTAAATCTAATCTTACCCTATTCCATTTATATTTTAAATTTATTTGTATTGATCTAT